CATGGATTGATAAGTGACAATTCTCGGAGTGATGGACTTGGCATAACGTCTGGCCAAATCCAACCAACTCTAAACATTTTTTTTATGTCAGTTTAGTTCATTTTAGGCCAATTTTGTTAGTCTTTGCCATTCTTTAACCAATTTGTCCGAAGTGATGTTTAAGTCCACTAAATGAGAAGAAATGTCAAACGAGAAGTGATCCATAGCATGAAAAAGAGCCTATACATTGACGATGAACCTTCGTAGAGATTAAGCCATTGAATATAGATCTCTTTCTCATGCCTTGAACAACAAGCACTTGTTTGCAATAGCTCTCAAACAGAAGAAAAGAAGAAAGAAGGGAGGGTGCATAAATGATTATGCGAAGTTGATTATTTAAAATAAAATTCTTCGCATGAAAACTAAGTAAATAAAGCTATCAACTCAAATGACTTGGTGTCTAAGGCCTAAACAACCGAAACCATAAGGACTTACAACACAACATGTACAATATTCAAAGCATAAACTATTTAAATGAATTAAACAGCCCATAATAGCCCCTAAAATGTAAAAAAATAGTAGCTAAAAGCAAGAGAAAGTAAGTAAAAAGAGTAGAGAAAAAGCTTTGGAACAAAGCCTAAGGAGGGGTGGCTGACCCCTCCACTTTTTGCAATTTTAAATAACATATTTCAACCCCAAAAAAGTCCAAGAACAATCCCAAAACAGCCCCAAAAAAGTGGCTAAAAGTGTGTTTAAAGAGCACAAAAAGATAGACAAAAGCAAAAGATACAAAGTTAGTAAGTGCAATAGCTCTCAAACAAAAGAAAAGAAGAAAGAAGGGAGGGTGCAGAAATGATTATGCGAAGTTGATTATTTAAAATAAAATTCTTCGCATGAAAACTAAGTAAATAAAGCTATCAACTCAAATGACTTGGTATCTAAGGCCTAAACAACCGAAACCATGAGGACTTACAACACAACATGTATAATATTCAAAGCATAAACTATTTAAATGAATTAAACAGCCCATAATAGCCCTAAAATGTAAAAAAATAGTAGCTAAAAGCAAGAGAAAGTAAGTAAAAAGAGTAGAGAAAAAGCTTTGGAACAAAGCCTAAGGAGGGGTGGCTGACCCCTCCACTTTTTGCAATTTTAAATAACATATTTCAACCCCAAAAAAGTCCAAGAACAATCCCAAAACAGCCCCAAAAAAGTGGCTAAAAGTGTGTTTAAAGAGCACAAAAAGATAGACAAAAGCAAAAGATACAAAGTTAGTAAGCAAAATCAAAGAGAGGTGGCTAATCCCTCCACTTTTGAGACTTTTAAACCATGTTTTTCAGCCTTTTTAAACTCTAAAAATTAGTGTAAAAAACAAAGAAAAGAGTGCAAGAACATGAGCTATGAAATAAGGAGTAAGAAAGGGTGTTAAACCTTTCTATCTTTGGTAACAATTCAACCCCAAATTCCAACACTTAGAATGGATCCAAAATAGTATCCAAAATAGTAGGGAAATACAAGAAAAAAATTGAAATGAAAGTAAGGAAAAAGGTGATAAGCTTATACCTCTTGAAAGAGAGGATGCTTCTTAGTTATCAAACTTGATTCAAAACACCCTTAAGGTTCTGAAATTTAGTTTCAAATCTCAACAAAAAACTCCAAGAACAAGCTCTAATGGTGTATGTATTTTGTATGTATTGTTGAAAAAGGTTTGAAGATAAAGAAAGCTTTTGTAAGGAAGTTATGTCAAAACTCCTACAAATATGTCCTAGAACAATTCTCTAACCTCTAGGTTATGAAAATATGCCTTGAATTCTCTACAAGAAAGCTTCAAATCCAAGCTTTAATTGTGTACGGAGGGTGGGAATTGATTTGAAGAATCAAAGGAAGTTTAAAGGTCCAAAAGCTCTCATCAATGTCTAAGCCTCTTTGAAGGTTTTTATAACCTTAAAATTTGAAGTAGGAGGTCCTATTTATAGGATTTGAGCCAATTTGGTCAGAAATATCTTCAAACAAAGCCAGCTATCCAATTCCCGCCAACTGTCTGTTTGGCGCTATTGAGAGCTAGCTGGCTCCCAAAACAGTTGGCCAGCTCCAAAAAACCCACAGCCGGACCAAATAATGCAAGGCCAAGTCTAAAAAGACATTCTGGACAAATTTTCATTGAAATCCGGCCGGCTCTAAATGAGCCACGGCTGAATCTAAATGGACTTGGCCGGCTCTAAAAATCTGCATTTCAAGCCCGATTTCAAATAGACATATCTCCCTCATTCAAACTAGGATTTAGGTTATTCTTGAGTCTAAATTGAAGCCCCGAAAGTCTAATTTCCAATGGTAGTGGCCTCACATCTAAGTTCTAAGTGTGCAAAGAGATATGCATAATTTAGTGAAGGCTGCTCATTCTTTCTCAACGGTTTAATGCTCAACTTCTTCCTAAACTAGCTTTCTTCCCTCCCCTCCTATTTCCTTCAACTCCAAACCTATAAATAAGATGTTTTAAATATTTTTCAAAGAGTTCACCTCCATTCCATTTATTTCCATTTTGTCCTTACTCAGTCTACCGAAAAGTGCAATGTTTTAAACAAAATACGAGCCTTGGAAAATCGTAGAAACATTTGAAAAACTATTTTGAAAAGAGGGTTTTAAGGTCTAAAATAGTTTGGCCAAAATGGGGTGCAAGGTTTGGGATTAGAGCTTGAATCCAAATTTCTTCGCTGAGAATTCAAAAGATTGCATAGTGTAACTTTCATCATCGGGTGTTTGGAATAAAGCGCCCAAATCTTAAGGGTAGTCAAAAATGGGGTGTCTACAAACATGTAATATTTTCCTACATACATCTCATTTTTGGTAAGTACAAATTTGTCACTTTCAAAAACTAGCCTAAATCCATTTTTACTTAATAGAGATCCGGAGACTAGATTCTTACGAATGTCCAATACATGCAGCACATTGTTGAGAGTGATTTTATTTCCAAATGTCATCTTCAGAATAATCTTTCATTGTCCTTCAACTTTAGAAGTCGAAGAGTTGCCCATAAAAAGTTGTTCGCCGTTGTCCACCATAGAATAAGATGTGAACATCTTTTTGTCGGCACAAATATGGCGAGTAGCACTAGTGTCCACCCACCATTGTTTTGGATTTCCGACAAGATTTGCCTCGAAACCAACTGCGGAAAGATTTATGTCATCTACACCATTGGAAATTTTTTCCACTTCGGTCATATTGGCTTGAGCAGGCTTTTTGCTTGATCTTCCTTTGCCTTTGTGTTTGCTTCGGCAATCTTTGGCCTAATGTCTTTCCATAGATGTAACATTTTCCATTAAACTTGTACTTTTTAATTTCCCCTCCTTTAGAGCCTTGTGCGGAACTTTCTTCTAAAAAACTTTCGTTTCTTTGCTTTTGGAGCACGTTCCACCACATTTTCCTTAGACTCCATGGGATGCTTACCAGCCCGCTTCGTAGAATTGCGGTTGTCCTCCTCAATCCTCAAATGCAAAATCAATTCCTCTAAGGTTATTTCTCTGCGCTTCTGTTTGAGGTAGTACTTAAATTTTTTCAAGCCTTATGGTAATTTTTCAATTAAGGAAGAAACTTGAAAGGATTCACTCAGAGACATGCCTTCTACATGATTGTGATGCAGAATGAGTTGGAGATCTTGAATTTGGCTTATCATAGTCTTAGAATCAACCATCACAAAGTCTAGAAATTTACCTACTGCGAATGTCTTCGAGCCAGCATCTTCTATTTTATATTTTTTCTCCAACGACTTCCAAAGTTCTTTTTCCGTTTTAATTGGGCTGTAGACATTGTATAATGTGCTATCAAGTCTGTCAAGATGTAGTTTCGGCAAAGGAAATCAGCATGTTTCCAAGCATCGACCGCAGCAACTACTTGTCGGTCGGCTTCATCCTTGTTCAGGGTAGGACCATTCTCACGAAAGAAATGTGCCAGGTTGAGAGTAGTAAGATAGAACAAACATTTTCTGCTGCCATCTTTTAAAATTAGTTCCTAAGAACTTCTCTGGCTTTTCACCATAATTGACTGGCATAGTCACAACAGCAAGAGGGGTTGGAGCTATTGCAACCACCATTCCAGTACTTGTTTGAGCATTAGTTTCAGTAGCTATAAATTCTAAATTATAAAACAAAATTATAATTAGAATTTTATACTACGCAAAAAATTAAACCATAAATACAGAATTTAAATTTTGTAAAAATAAAAGAAACAAGAATTGTAATTTTTATTTCCAATTAATTTGAAAATAAAATTTTATTTAAACAAATTAATTCCACACAGAAAAATATTTCTGTAACACTTCAAAAATTAAAATACTAAAAATAGAATTTTAATTAATGAAAACTCAGAAATTATTTATGAAAACCAAAATTAATTCTGACCGACTTCACAAATAAATATTCTGATTTGTTAATAACTACCAGTATATTACTACTAATTGTCAAAGAAAATAAACAGTATATTACTACTATTTGTCAAACAGTATATTACTACTATTTGTTTTTTTCCAACCAGAATGTTACTTTGTATAATCACAGAAAATAATTTCTATAAGAAGAAAGGAAGAAAGAGAAATAAACGAAAAATTATGTATAAACAGAATAATTCAAGCAGGTATGTCTTAAGATTATTGGAACAATCTTCTGTGTAAAATAATAACTTGAAACAAATCAAACAAATAAAAATAAATTACTTATTGAATTTATTTACCGAACCGAATAATCATAAAAAGATCAAGTCGAGTGTATCACACTCTGTTTTTAAGATAGATTCTCCCCGCTTCGGTGCTTACAAATAGCGTCTATCTCCCAAGATACAATGATCTACACAGATTGTAGTAGCACTCCAAACAATCCGTACAGCGAACCAAACCTGTGTTCTATACTCTCAGAATTTTCTCTAAAACTAGTATAAAGAATATATGTATGCAAGAGAGCAAAATGAAGGCAACAAATGAATTTTCAAAAATCAGAATGTTGCTAGAAGGCAACAAATGAATTGTCCATAACTCCTCCCTTCTACAAACTTTGGGTGCCCCTTGGGACTTAACCCTAGTGTTGCCACCTAGAACTTATATATACACATAAGTTCTCTTAAGTTTTCAATGTAGAACTACCATTACAAAGCAATCCACATTTTACTTCTTTAATTGTTTATTTCACGAACCCGAGAACGATGTCAATTTTCCATTCACTCATAAATGGTTTTGACGAATCGTTTTCACCGTGTGACTTGCCATGCGGCAAAGAACAAGTCACCTATTTGGACCCACCTTAAAAAACGTGTGGGACCCACTCAAATTTGAGCTCAAAGTTGACCTAAAATAAGCCTATAAAAATCATAAATTCTAACATAAAGTACAAAATCATAAAAATTACAATGACATACACCATTGCCTTCAAATGATTTTCAATCCTTTTAAGCCTTCGACCATAGTTATCATTTTCATTTTCCATCCTTTCAAGTCTTTGACGATATTCATCATTTTTATTTTCTATTCCATGAAGCTTCGCCCTTAGATCGTTAAATTCTTCTACTGTTATAGCATCACAAGCTCTAGTGTTGGAACGGATTGTGGACGTAACTTCTTCATCATCTTCATCTACGAACTTAAAATAATTGCAATGGCCAGTGTTACTCTACAATGCATGACAATCAATTAGTCGAATAAGACAAATTAATTTGTAACTACTAAAGGATTAATTTTTACAATATATACATATTTTAATGGGCATACAAAGAACAAACGCCCTTGATTTTCATGCTCATTGGTTCTTACAATATATATGGCAGTTGTTCTTCCACAATTGCACAGTCTTGGTTTTAATCTTATGTTGCTATTGTTTGTAGAAGAAGAAGCCATTTTTTAATCTGCATACACAATACAAACAATCTCACAACTAAGGATCACAACCCCATTTTTTGAAAATTGATAAAGACATGTATAGCATATCACACATATCCTCACATTATAGCATATGATTCTTTAATTTAAGTGGAAGTTTAAGAAGCCTAACATTCCAATTTAAGAGGAAATGAATAAAAAAAATAAAAAAAAAAGAGAGAGAGAGGAAGAATAAAAAGAGCTCAATGTTATTGTAACTTAAATTTGTTTTAGTTACTGTGTCAAAACATTTAGCACCAACTCTCATGTTTCTTTGTCCAAGTTACATTAAAAACCAATAAGGATTTTTAATCCAAATGGGCTAAAAAGGGTGAGGTTTTGCTCAAAAAACAAAATCAAAATAAAAGAACAAACGACAGTAAAAAAGAAGAAAAAAAAAATGGTAATGGTACACAAACCAAAACTTTTATACAAAATTTTCATACAAAATGATGTCACTCCTTGTGATCATTTAATTTCCAGTTAAAACACCCACCATTGCCTTCGTAGTTTTGTAATGCAAATCTTCCATATATATATACATACAGAGGTTTTGTCAATTATAACCTTTTAGAAGCCACCATTCTGAGAGCTATTCAAGTTTCATGGTAATGGAAAACATAATACAAATTAATTAGAAATGCATTCCAATCAATACAATTGGTTCAATCTGTTAGAAATGATTTGGAAAAAATCTAGGTATATAACAGAATTTTTCCTAACTTTGGTCTATTATTTAGGTGGGACCCGTACGCGAAATTTGGCGGGTCCAAGTGATAACGCGTTTTATGCCACATTGTGATTCACGTGGTATATTTGGTTACTCAAAACCATTATCGAGTGAATGGGAAATTGAAGCCAAAGTGTGCTCCATGGAAATAGAGTTTTGGTGGAAAATCCTTAAAGGTTTGAAAAATGGCTTGTCCCACATTGATTTGGTGAGAAGTTTTGAGTGGGTTTATAAGGCATGGGATTGGAACTTGGGGTGTGCCCCAAGGGGTACCCAAGTTTTGTAGAGAGGGAGGTTATGGGCAAAATAGGCTAGACCTATTGGACCAAAAATCACCACACACGCGAGTGTGCCGCCACCGTCCGTCCCGTTCAGCTGGGCTTGGGCGCGGGTGCGTGGTGTGAGGTTCGGTTGGGCTTGTCCGGCCCAATTTTGGTTGGAAATAAAATTCAAATTTTTGGTTTGCACCTCTTCAGAAATTCTGCACAGTTTCGGATCTGTCCTAACCAAATCTGTTCAAATTCAAATCCACCCAAAACAAGTTTTTGAATTGTTTGAAATTCAAACCAAACAATGCCTATAGATTTTGTATCTGTTTAATTTAAATTGAACAGGTATTGTACCTGTTTAATTTAAAATTAGCAGCCACCAAGCCACCACTTCACCTATATAAATAGGTAATCCCTCATTTGGTTTTTTACAATAATTTTCGTACTTCTCCTCTGCTAAAATTCTCTGCATTTTGCTGCATATATTTTCTGTGAGAAAGAGTGTAAGTGTAAACACTTAATGTGTTCGTTGGGCAAACAATTTGTAGTGCTGCTATTGTTTGCTGTTGATCATTTCATCCTGGGAGACAGACGTCCACGTTCTGAAAATACCGTGGAGAGGACGAATCTGTCTTAAGGACACAGTGTCGAACACTGGACTTGATCAGAATATTATTCAAGAAATTAATCAAGTAAGTTGGTTATTTGTTTTCTGTTTTATTTATTTATTTAAATCAGATTTTGATTTTGTTTTTGTAACAAAATAAAAATCAATTTTTATTTATTTTATTTTATTTTCCTGGTTTGATTTTTATAATCAAACAATTCTCTTATTTTTCTTTTATTTCTTATATATTCTGTTTGTTGTTAAGTATGCAACAGAATGAATTTTACAAATACAGTAAAGATTGTCCAACACAATCTAGTATGCAATTGACAATATAACCATGGTTAAGCAAGAACAACTAAGAACATAATGGCACTACTACAAGCTAACAAAGACTAAAACCACAAAAACTACAGCACTTTGGAAGAACACATACTAGAAGTAGAACACAGACATCAATAGAGAAATGTTGACACTAGAAAAGAGCAAGAGAGGCAAACATGAGACAGTAACCAACCTGACAATCACTTGTTGAAAGAAATCACCCACCACCAACACACCAATCTCTGAAAATGCATCTTCCTCCAGCAAGCAATGTAAAAAAAAAATAAAAAAATTATTAAGAAACAGAGGTGGGGAAAATAAACTCTCAAAAAAATGAAAGAAATGAATCAGAACAAATTGTAAATAGAAAAAATTATAAACAGCTTCCCAAACCCCAAACCAAATATTCAAAACAAACCCATGATTTATGCCACAAAAAACCCTCAAAAAGACTCTAGTCAAAACCCACAAAAAACTGAATCAAAATTACTTGAATAAGATATTCCAATCTTATCCCCCCAAACAAACAAAAACACAATCAAGAAACACACACACACACAGAGAGAGAGAGAGAGAGAGAGAGAGAGAGAGAGAGAGAGAGAGAGAGCTTGCCTGTGTAAGGAGAAAGAAGGAAAGACGTCGGTCGGTTGGGTTTCAGGAGCTTCTTGCCGTCGTCGGGAGTGAGTCGTCGATGAAGATGGGTTGCCAGTGAGGGTGGGTTCGATGGAGGAGAAGGGGGCTGAGTGAGAGTGAATTCCAAAACTCTGTGTATAACCTGCATAGCTTTTGGCTGGAAAATTTCTATTTCAATTTGTTTCAAAAAAATTTATTTTTATTTTTTTATAGCCGTTGGATCTAGACTGGCTGATCTTAGCCGTTGCACGGAGGAAGTGAGGGAGAGGCTTCAAGGAGGGTAACTGAACTCTTAAATAAGTTGTTACATAATTGTTTTTTATTGCGTAAATATTTTAAATTTTAAAATTCAAATCAGAGATAGAATTGTTTTGTTCATACGCATTTAAATATTTTACACAAATAAAAATATATATGTTCTCTCTCTTTTTTTTTCTCCGGAGGGGGTAAAAAGATAAGAATTTCTAGTAAAGTTGGTTCGTATATATTAAGGATGGCCATAGGGCGGATTTGTCATTCCCCGCCGACAAACTCTACCCCCATCCCTACTATGGGTGGAATTTTTCAACCCCACCCCTGCTTCCGTGGCTATCCGATCACATTTCAAATAGTCAAAAAAATTAAAAACTATTTAAATTCTTAACACACTAAATAATTTTTTTATTTTCATATATATAAATAGTAAAACTTTTAAGATTACTATTTATTTATATTTAAATAAAATCATAGACTTTTAATATTATTTTCTTATATCTAATTATATTTTATATATATATATATATATACATATATTATTTATTTATATATTATTAATTATATCTATTGTTTTTTTTTTTTATGTTTAAAAAAAAAAAAAAAGATTGTAGTAATTTGATTTTAAATTAAAATAAATCCGGGTCAAGGTTTGGACCGAGAAGCGATCCCCGCCCCGCTCCCGCTCCCGGGCCGCCCCACCCCCATTACGGATTGACCAAGAGCATAATCTACCCCGCCCCACTAAGTGGTTGGGGCAGGTAAAAATCCGTCACCATTAGATGGTAAATGAAGCGGACCTCCCGTGATCGGATTTAAATGGTACATCCCAAAATAATACTTCAATGTTTAAATTGGGCTGATGAGGTTATAATTGGGCTTCCATAAATATCAAGCAGATCTGTTTTTCGGGCTTTTTGGTTTCATCACACTTCTGATCACCTCGTAAACTTGGTAAAACAGGAAGGGAAAAGTAATGATAGGACACATCTATTGATGTAGTTAATTTAACTTGATAATTTTTTTAAAATTTTATGAATTTACCCATTATTGATAATTATGAGACTTTTTTAATATACTTGTTATGATTTTGAAAAATAATGCATTTAATATTAATAATAATGCAAAGTAATTTATCAACAGTAATAAATAGTAGAACATTAAAATTTTATTTGTTGAGTTTGATTAGTTTATTCAATTTATCTTGGTATCTTAAGTGGGTGTTTGTTGGGCGGAATACAACCAAGCCCCTTAACTTTTGGAGAGCGCTATGATTTTGGGTTGTTTTAGAGAATGGTGGTTAAAAATTAATTTTTTGACTCATTTTTTTGTCTTAAAAGAAAACATGTAAACAAAAGTAGAGAAGTGAATATGATCAAAAATAAACTAAAAAATAAAAACAAGACTTTTAACGCAGCTATGTCAATCAAAAATAAAAAACAATAAGAATAAATTCGATATTAGTGTTAGATAAACAATATTCATATTTAGTGTTGGTAAATTTTTGAAGCATTGCTATGGCAATTTGCAAATTATAGCAATATTTGTTGGCCATGACTGCAAATTATCGCAATGAGTAATACTATAAACTAAACAAACAAAAAATAAATCAACATAATTGTCGCAATTGAGGTAAATATTATATAAACTGAAAACATAGAGACAATACATTTTTATTAGGAAATGATGTGGTAGTTTTAATCAAAAGCAAAGTCCATCATGTGGATTTGTTTATTTTTAGAGGCCATTACTCACATCAATTTTTACATAAAAATTCTCTATAAATTTTATGTTTGTGAATCATTTTCTTTTTAATGACAGATTTGTTTGGCATAAATTTTTGAAAAACTACTGATAATAACAAAAATTGACACAAAATGATTTTGTAAAACTATGTGATTAACATAGACTTTTCGCTTTAAAACCAGAGAGATCCTAACAAGTGTTCTATGAAATATTATTTTAAAGCGTTGAAGATTGAAATATATATATATATATTAGTAATATAATAAAAATATAAAAATAAAAAACGAGCATGTTTTATAATTTAAGACAAAAAAATTTTTATATTGCAAAAAAGAAAAATAAAAGAAAAGAAAGCGAAGAAAAGAGCCAGCCTTTGACGGAGACATAGCAAGAAGTTGCCTTGGCAATTATTGCTCATCTTCTTCACAACACAATGCAACTAGCCAGCCCTCAAACATTTAGCCATGTGCATAATTGCTCAAACGTTGTCTTCCTAAGTTTTTATTTGTCTTGCATCCTCTTCTTCAACTTCCATGGAGCTCTCTCTGTTCTTCAAGAGCTGATAAAACTTCTCCAGCTCCCCATCCCCGGCCTGCAGGAGATGTCTGATTCACAAATCCTCTCTGGCTTTCAATCTAATCCCCAAAAGACAAAACGCATTTCCAAGAGAACTCAAACACTCTGCATCATGGAAGATCTGTTCATGGCGCAACTCAAATCTCAACCGCTCTGCTCCTTTCTAACTACTAGCTCTTCGGTTCTTTATCACTTCTGAAGTGTTGCTTTTAGCTTTTCTTCAATGGGTCTACGTTAATTTCTCAGGACCTCCCAGAATCTGAGGAAATACGGGTCCTGGGCCTACGTTACGGACGCACCGACGTATTGCCAAGGGTTTCCGCCGTTCGAATTGGCTCGTAAAGGTTCTGAATTTGATTCTCGTTGGTCGAATCCCGAGAAACTCAAGGAGGTTTTTCGGCAGTCGATCGGAGACCAAATTCGGAAAAACCCAGGTCAGAGACTGTGGTTGTTGATTTTCTGGAGATTTGACGAAGAATGGTTAATCGATTCGATGAAAGCCATTTGAAGGTCTGGATGTTGAGTTCTGATTCAAGTAATGTTGGAAGTTTTCTTTCCTTATGCAGGTTTTTTCGATGAGGTGGACGAGCAATTGTTGCTGAATTTGATTAAAATCAATGTTGAAGGACTACTAAGGTTACACAAGCGGTTTTTTGCCTGGGATGATTAAGAGGAAGAGAGGTGCGATGTTAATATTGGTTCTGGTGCCGCCATTAGTCATCCTTCTGATCCACTTTATGCTGTATATGCAGCCCAAAGCGTATGCATCTCATCTGTTGTTTGTTTCGTTAATTTTGAAGTAATGAGTGGAATGCTTGCTGGTAGTTTTCAATTACTTGTGGGCGGTTTTGATTAGGGTTGTAAAAGAAAATTGAAGCTCTCTCTATGCTTGGATTGAGTTTGTTACTCAGAAAGCATGAAATCAGCTAGACTGGTTGGTATGAGACAAGAATCGAGCTGATCTACTGGTTCTTCACAAATCAAAAACAAACACGGATTATGGTTTTTCTCTTTTCATACTCTTTTCCCTATCCTCCGCAATCAAATGATTTTACTGAAAGTATGCATAGATGGGGTTTTGGATGTGATTTAACTAATGGTACATTAGAAATTAAATTTGTAGTTTGGGTTATTGATGTTTGTTTACTGTATATCCCACTGAAGAGATAGTTTTTTGTTTTTGCTTGTGTTTGTTTTTGTGGAAAAGTTTATCTTTCAAGTATAACAAATATAGAATTGGTTTTCATAATTTTGAATGCTGAATGGATGAGATGGGTGGTTTTAACTTTGGCAGATTACAGATTGATCACTCTCTCAAAGGTGCTTATGTGGAGGTACAAGCAAGAATGGGATCCGATGTGCAGTGTCAGGTTGCTTGTTTTTTGGAACGCCCCTTTCTGCTTACATGCTTTTCCTAGTTCATGTTACTTTCGGACAATAATGTCGCTAAGTTTATTGAAGAAGTTCTAGCTTTGTTCTTACTCCTCCATTGTTCAACATGCCCAACAATTGATCTGTTGTAAGGATTCAGTATTGCATGTTTAAATTGTTCTAAAATTTTATGAATTTATTTGAAGTCATAAAGTAATTTATAGGCAAGTATATAGAACCACTTAAAAATTGTCCACCAGTTCATGGATACATTTTTATGATGCGTTCTATGACTTGAATTAAGAAAGTTCTTATGAACAAAAAGGTATAAGACATTTCTTTTAAGATTTGTCTCTGTGAGATAAACGCGTTTTTATATTGTGATGGTGATAGAAGCAGATTTGTTTCTGTTCTTGCACTCGATAGTTCAATGCATTGGCTCTTGTTATAACTAATTTTTACCTGCCAAGAAAAAAAAAAATACTATCCTCGTTTTTAATTTTCTGTTGAACTTGGTTATGTGTCTGAAATATCTGCTTTATTATGATTCTTATGATCGGTCCACATTATTCCCTTTGGACCTATGATTTATTCACAAAACAAGAAGGAAAAAAATGAGAAGAAAACAATTTATACCAGAGCCATCCTTGAAAGGCTGCTTTCTTTCTGTCAGTGAGAACCACGTAGTTCACCTTTGTTGATTGTTTATTGTCTTTCCGCAACTTTCTTTCTCAGTTTATATGTGGATTTACACATTCAAGATATTGCAAGTTTCCTTATTTGATCATGGATTTGCTAGAAAACACAAGAACTATAGTTTTTAGTGTGGTTTTGAGGAACCATTTAAAACAAGGGACTTTAAACCTGGAGTATATACGTGTATGAATTTGGTTTCATATCCTTTTATACAGTCTAAAATGAGTCTTTTTCCATATAGGTGCCTTGTACGTGGCAAACAGCATGGCTAGATCAGAAGGTCTCCTTCTTTGTTTCCATCGACAGATGGTATATGCCTAAGGCTGCCAATGCGCTGGAATAGGCTATGAACCACGTTGCAGTCTCCTTATGGCCCCATACTGTTCTGTGGGGCGACTGGCCCACTCTTTGCCTGGGTCGTTGTTGAGTCTTGCGTCTAAGGGTTCTGCCTTGCAATCCGAAAGAAGGGACCAACTCAAAGAC